CCCCCCCCACCGGTCTTCACGCCAATCCCTTCCCGCTTCCCGTGGTTGAGATACCCGGCCTACGCACACGCAAGACACACACGCACTGCGCACCAAACACAGTCTGCCCACTCGCTGCATCTTCCTGGGGCGGGACGCCTATGCGGACACGTGCCATCACACATGCTGTCCCTGCCTTGCACGGCCAACGCTCAGACATTCCTGACCGTCCCTTGCACGCCCCCTCCCCCCGCCCCCCCAACCGCGCTTACCCAGCGTCACACAGATGGGCACGTTTCTCTTAAACAGAGACACTCCTCCCCGTTAGTCTCTGTGAAGCGTCTGGGTCTGGGGAAGTCCGTCGCCATACAGCTGTGGCAGCTGCTCGGCCTGATGCTTGGATGTTGTGCCCTGTAACATAACACACTGCATACCAACTATAAATAATTGAACAACAACCAAATAACAACCAAACCTGGCAGCAGGCAGCGCTGGTTAAAACGCTGTTCGTCAGCTCTTATTATACACTGCTTCAAGTGTGCAAATATATAACACCGTTCAAAAGTCATCGAAAGAAAACGGAAAGGAAGAATGTTTGTTTAAAGCTATATATCTGGGTAGTAAATAATGTTTTCTCAGAGAAAAAAGTCATTTAACATTACAATATATGCAAATGAACAGTGACAATAGAAACTAACAAGAATTTCTTCTGTTCTCCAAAAAGTTCCTGATATTTTATCGTATTGCTTGATGAATACTCTTCTGCTTCCCAGACCTCTACTCGGGCACCCCAGTCATTCCTCGTATTCCTTACATTTCAGTACCAGCTCACTTAATTAAATAACTTAATTCAAATACTTTTGATGTGGTATGGATTAGCCAAACATGGTATGCAAACAGTCTGGTCAACAATCGAGGTTACTACAAATACTGGGGTGACTTTCTGAGAGGTTTTGAAGTGGCTAAGCTGACACACTTTGACAGACGTAATACCAAACACCAACGTGAAGATCATTTAAACATTTTATTTGGCAGCCTAAACCTTTTGCAAAATCCTGTATATAAGTGTATATAGAGGTTTGTGTTCATGTGTAGTATAACATATGTTTGTGTCTTGAAAAGATATCCACATATTTAGCATAAAATGATCTCCATTCACTGTTTCGGTAAACAGAAATTTACATGTTAATGCAACACCCTGAAACGCCCTAAGAACGTATATTTTGACAAGGATTAGGACGGTTAGCAGTGATGTCATTCGAGTTCTGGGCTCGTGTGAAATACCTGTATGTTCCCCGGCTGCAAAATGAAACATTCGGATGGTGGCACCTGTCTGCAGGAAAGTCGCGCTCTGGAATGAGGACGGGGCTTGATATTAGGATTCGGACAACTGCCAGCATCCGGATAGCTCTGGCTTGTGGAGGGGGGGAGCGCAGAGGCCTTGCAGTGGCGCTCCCCCCCCCCCCACGTACCTCTGGTGTCACGCGTGAGATTTAACGCCTCCCCTTGTCTGTTCCTCTTGCCGCCTGCCGTGGCGTTTGGCCTGGCTTGTTCTCCTGCCGCTGGCTGCGACTCAGAGACGTGCTGTTCCATCCTGCACCTACACCTGCACCAAAACCACAGCCGCTCCCCTTTTGCTGGGCCCCCTCTGCACCCCTCCTGCCACAGATTTTTGGAGGTTAAACCTGATTTTCCTATCAGATTAACCCCCCCACCCCCTCAGCCTCCCCCATTCTCCGCACCCACGTCTCACTCGCTCTCACTTGCTCTCCCACTCTCACCCTTTCAAGTGAGCTTGTCTTCCAAGAATCAAGGTACCGTGTTGCTGCCTGTCGTCTGCCTTTTCTCTGCCTTTAGCCCCCCCCTGTCCTCGTTTCCCATGTTCCTTCTCCCCCTGTCCCTCCTGCCACGTTCTCCCCCACGCTGGCCTTGCCGGGCAAAGGGCTGCAAACGGAACCCTCTGCTGCAAAACATCTGAGTAATCCAACGCAGTTAAACAGGGCAGCATTTTTACATTTGCGAAGTAACGGTTTCCCCAACTGTCTAATTAACAGATCAAAAGGGTTAAAACAGGAGAGCATTGCTTCCTCGTAAGCTTGTGATCTTGCCACAAGCCTTGTGATATTTGTGAATTTATTTCTTAGAATTGCCTCATTTTGCAGCAGTTTCAAAATTAGTAGTAAAATTCTTATGTTTGTCCAATTTTGGCAAGCTGTTGCCAAATTTAACATCCCCCACCTGCCATTGGGGAAATTTCTTAAAATGTGCTTCAAATGCACATCAAGCTTTCTAATCCCGTTGCCATTTGACGGAATTCTCCAGACAATATATACTATGTGCTCTTGGAAAGGAGGGTACTAAACATATAACCTACTGGATGGTGGTGGAATATGTTGGTTGGCCATTGAATTACAGCATCATTGGTTCCATTTTCCAGCATCACTGTGAACCAACCAAACTACACTGGTATCTGTGACACATCAGAGGACTTCGCAGTGCGTGCCTAGCCTTTGTGTGATCGATGGATGGCGTTGATGTTATCTGCCATACCCGAGCACCTGTTTTCTGTTACAACTGAGTTTACTCTTAAATATGTAATTCAAAAGCATGCTGGTAACCGCTTCCTCGTTGCCTCTTTCGGCTGTGTTGGAGGCTCTCGGCACAGTGCTGGCTCACAGAGCATACTTCGTAGGGGTTGGGGCACGGTTTTTCTTTTCCTCCGTGAGGTTGTCTCAGACGTACCCGCCGACACCAAGAGGAAGGTGCTTTCAGTCGGACCCCAACTCTCGTCTCTCACCGTCTCGAATGAACCTACTTGGCCCCCTGTTGGCCCCCATTTCATGTAAAGTCTTGACCGTTTGTCTGGATTTTGACTGTGGGGGGGGGTTAAAGGAGTGTAATATATATTTTAGAGAGAGGTGGAGGAGGGTGGACACAGCTGTAGCAAGTGGCTCAATTTTTTTTCACCGGTCCTTCAGTGATGTTCCCCTGAGGTCAGAGCACCGTGGGCCATTATGTGGAGACAACACGCAGGCCTTGCTCCTCTCCGATGCATGTTCCCAGCCAGCTCAGCAACTGGTATAAAACCAAATCAAAGAGTGCAGATGGAGAGTCAGACTCCCACCTGCACATATCTCTGAGTGTTCAGGACGCCTCAGGTTGTTTTGTTGGTGTTTTGTGTTTTGGAAGGTGTTCAGCTATTTATAGTCCTCCAGTGTTGAGCGTTTGTTGTGTTTGGGAGGGAGTGACACTGTGTGTACGGGGCCAAGCTGTGGCTGTGTGTGTGTGCGCATGTGTGTGAGTGTGTGTGTGTACCTATGTCATGGTTATTGAAAACCCAATTGTTGTGGCTTTTTATTTGCCAAAATACATCTGTTGCCATTACGTACGTAACCGTTTCCGTCCTTGTCTATGGCTGCATTAACAGCAGGTTTAAATCTCTGATTTTAGCTTTTGACAGGGTAATCAGTGTGCCGTTCTGTTTGCCTTTCAATTTCTCCTTCTGAAAGGATTTATTTATTGATAGTAAAAGTTTCAATTCTGGCAAATCTTAATTTTTATTTGGGGGAATTTTTTTTTAAAGTTTTATAAGGTGTAGAATGTTGCCTGTCAAATTCCCCCCCCCCCCCTTGTATCCTTCTGCTTTTCAGAGTATCTAAAACAAAACCTTTTAAATTTTAGGTTATAAGAACGCAGTGTGTGTATGTGAGCGTGAGAGAGATGTTTTCCGAAGAAGCAAAAGAGAGTTTTGGCTCATTTCTTAACCTCATGCTATTATACAATTTTTTTTTTCCTCGATGTAAGTTTACTTTGAGTAATTTTATAATTCATACAGACACGCTGGTTTAGGGCTGCTGTCATGGACCCTTGTTCATCTCGAGCCAAACCCAAGGCCTACCTGAGAGGTGAGCCTTACTGGACTCTGAAACTTTCTTTTTTTCTGGTGTTGGTGGAAAACTGAACAAATTTACGGCTAAGGCGGCCCAAGTATGACTCAGTCGCCTGAAAAGTCCGGGTGTCTGCATTGGCATTGATTTTTTATTTTTTTTGTCCGCTGCTGAAACAAGCTGCTGAAACAAGCTGCTGAAATGACGTCGGGAGACGGCGGAGGCCTCTGCCCTTTACCTGAAATGGCGGTTCGGTTGGGTGTATTAGTGCATCACCGGTGAAGAACGCGCAGGCTTCACGCCTAACATGCTCAGCCACTGGTCACTAGAACCAGGAAGCAGAGGAAACAGACAAACAACCTCCATTCAGGTTTACGCTTTGTTTACATCCACTTTCCATTTAAGATTAATCGATATATATGTTTAAAAAAATACGATTTATCCTTTAGACATGTTCCAGTTTCACAGAGATTTATTTTCCTACATTCTGTGTACACACATTTGCTAGATTTGTGTGTGTTGCTGGGAAGACTGTCAGGACGGGCAATGGAAAAAGCTCAGCGAATGGCGAGGCTTCCGTTAGGTAGTGATGAACTTTCTTCGTAAATTCAGTTCTAAGTTTCGGTGGCAGAGGTGAGAACAACAACTCAGCCAGGGGCGGGAAAGGCGGAGCGGAGATGGAAAAAGATGGAGAAACGTAGCTCGTACGTCAGCCTTGGGGGCCCTGCTCGGTGCGCGGCCGCTGCCTCAGCGGCGGCTGTGGCGATATGCCGCTGTGCTCGGCCTGCGTGGTGCGGACTCAGCTTGGAGTGAGAGACTCGGAAACCATATTGACAAAGTAGAGAAGCTCGAGTCAACTTTAGAAAGAGGAGTGGGTGGTGCGGATCCGTTCTGAGCGAGAGAGAGACCAGCAAATAGGTAGAAGACGCCAGTGATATACAAAACAGTCGCAGATGCAGAAATGCCTTGGGCATTTGTTGTGATTTATATTTTCATGTATCTTAAAGTTACATTAAGACTGTGCAGCAAATTAGAAATTCTGAGATTTTTTTTTCTCTTCTGAAAATGCATTATAATTCCTCTCTTTCTGTTCAGGAGTTCACAAATCATAAGTTTTCCAACTAGAACAAGGCTGGGCGTATCCTGAAGGGGGTGTCAGTCCATGTCAGGCCACACACACAGACACCATGAACATTTTAGAGACTAATTCCCCCAGCACACATTTTCTTGATTGGGCTGTAATGTATATTAGCCTATTGTTGTATGTAATTGTACAGAAGATCCCAGGCATTATATATCGCTCTCTGAAAAAATGTGTTTTTTTTATTTTGGCAATAACCAAAGAAAATCTCTTTGCCAGTGCGTGGAGGAGAGTTTAAGGAAAGGTGATTCACAGTGATTCTGTGATTTAGCTTAATTGACACGTGTACAGGCTGGTCATACAGACGTGTCGGCTTGTGGTTGGGTGAACCGGCCTCGAAGCATGTGTCCAACTATTATGAAATATGACTTGCAATGACTGTGTTAGTGTGAAAATAAGTGTTGGTGTTAATATGCTTTAGTAAGGTTAGTACACTAAAAATTTGGTCCAGTGATTGTCTGACTCTGCTTTCTTGAAAACATTGCTTCAGATACTTCTATCTTCTAAAGAAATGTAATGTAAATGTGGAAGTGCTGGTAGTGAGAGTTGTGGACCTGTATAATCAGACTTGCGGGAGGAAGTCTGATGCACACACGACCTCCGAATCAAGTGTTTTCCTGGAGAGCCTCATTTTGAATATCAGACTACTTGAGCATTTGCAGTGTTGCATCCCCTAGCAAGGCGAACTCGCGCTGAATGTGGAGCGCCTTATCTTTGCGAACTAAGGGGGAACGTAAACAATAGTTATGTCAGCTTCTTGTTCTGTGGTTGGCTGACACTGTGGGGTGCTTATTTCTGCTTGATAAGAGGTATCAAAGGGTGCAAATCAGTATCTGAGCTGTGTCACGCACTTTAATTTGAGGTGTGTATTTGTGCTTGTGTCCCTGATGTTGTTGGTGATGTCTGCCCCCATTATCTAGCTACGAAAAGTCAGCCATCGACATTTGGTGACTAAGAGAGACTGAGAAAAGAGAAGGACTAAAGAGGTTTAGGAGTGAAAAGGATGAGGAAAGCGAGAGTCAAGCTTATAGAATGAGTAGGTGTTTACTGACAAACCAAAGATCAACCTGTACATTTTTAAATCTATTATTCTCAGTCTCACATAAACACACTAATCATAAATTTTATAGTTATGCATTGATTCTTAAAGAAAATGATGCTCTTTAAGCCGTGTATGCCTATATTATCAGAAAAACAGCCTGATTTTGCCTAAAAAGTGAGCTTCCCTCGCTTTTCTACACTCACTAATATATAGTGTTAATCTTCTTGCCTGTTTGCCTGCAGTTTGAGGTTTATTACGTGTGCATGGTCATGTTAGAGATCTAGCTGCTCCTCCATAACCTACCAGCAGAGAAACTCAAATCGCTGAAGTCAGAGGTTTTTGTCTCTGTGCCGGAAGCGAACCGGCCGCCCCCTCTTCCTATCCCTCCATCTCGGTTTGTCTTTCTCTCGCTAATTCACCTGAATGCTTATCGAACAGCCTTTTTGGCGAAGGAACCCAGACAGCATAAAACCCAGCAATATGACCCCAGTGACTATGGGCCAATTTTATGTGATTGTGTTAATTGTTGGTTTAGGTTAATTGCTAATTAATCAAGAAAAACAAATATTTTTTACTCTACTTTCAATTTTATATATCAAGTGACACATCCGTAAATATTTTCCAGTTTTTAGAAGTCAAGCTAAATTAGCAGGGAAAAAATCTTATTCATATATTCTTTATTTCTCTGAATACTTGTTAGATCCAGTCCTACATGGGAGTAAAATTTATGGTTTTAAAACTCTGGTAATATTACCAAAATAATTCCTCTTCTAAAAGGACACCGCTCACTTCTAGCATGATTCCTAGGTCAGTCGCTAAGTTCACCTTTTCAGGACTGAAAATTATAACTGCCTTGGTATGACAAAACAGGTTTCAGTCTTTATATTAATTCCAAGGTAGTCGGTAAATCCACAATACATTGTTTTCCATTATCTTGCTTGCTGGTTCTGTTTCAGATTGGCAAAATGTCACCAAAATTGTCACCAGGAAGTGTGACACGTGCACACTCAAGCATGCATTAAGAAAAAACAAAAGCAATTGGCGCCTCAAATGCTTTTCCCATTTTCTGTTCTTGGTGTTACGATGTAACTCGTGACCTTTTACACGGAGCTTTCTTTAGCTGTTTAGTTTTTCCAGTGTGTTCTTTGTTCTGTTGCGAGCATTTGTCCAAGACTCCTTAACTTTTTCACTTTCTCCCCATGACCCGAGCGTTCTGATTCATAGGTGATGGACAGAATCTTCAAAAAGCCATTGACTACCCTGCTTCTGGATGCTAATATAGTTTCTGTTATCATTCTTCATGTGTGTAATTAGCGGCATCATTATGTGGCTTGTTTGATTTCATGGAGCTGGTTTCACTCCAGTACTGCTGCCAAGACCTTTGTTGACCATTATGAGCTTCCTGTGTCACCTTGGTGGTTCTGGTCGTTGGCGAGAACCCTGTCCATAGATGTTGCGCTGGTTCAAGGAATAATTTTGCTTGGTAAAGAATGGGCAGGTTAAATGGTTCTCTGTCCGCTTTGGTTGAGTTAGTCGGTTGAGCGTCAGAGAAGTAAGGCCTTGCTCTCTGGAGGGCTGGCTGCCTCTCTGGACGAAGCTAAGTGATGGGACTTTTTTTTTATTATTATTATTTTTTAGCATGACCTCCGAGAAACAAAATAACGTTTTTGTGGAACAGCATTGGTGATGACGGAACAACAGGACAACGGAACGACGGAATGGACCGACGCACATTTGGGGAGGGGGGCATGTGGGCGAACGGGGGGAGGGGTCTCTCTCTTGCACTCTTTCTGCCGCCGAGCACCCTCTTTTCATAAAACAGGAAGAGACTGAGCGAGCGAGCGAGAGAACGAGGTAGCGATCCCCAAGGATGAGTGTGGTACCCCACTTTCGAAGACGGCAGTAGAGAGGTGACTAAACCCCCGAAAACACCAAAGTTACTGAAAGTAGTTAAACACGAAGAGTTGGGCGAAGAGAGAGCCTAACGGAGTGGAAGAGAACGACGGAGCGAAAAAAGCACGCCAAGACGGATGCTATGACCCAGGCTGTGCTTTTTCCCACCTCGCCTCACTCTGTGCTGAGAACCGGCAAGGTAAACGTCGATGGCGCTCCGTGTCGGGGTTTAGGTAGGCGCTGCTTGACATGGGGGTAGCCGTCATGCCATTAACAGCTGGAGGTTGAGTTCGAGTAAACGAAAATGGGCGAGGTGCGGTTGACAGAGGGATGAGCAAAAAGGTGGTTGGTAGATGGTTTGCGATCCACTTGGTCTCTCCCTTCGGTGATCACTGGCTTTGACCTTTTGAACTATGGGATCAGTGTCAAGTAAATGGCCCTTAATAATAGAGGGAACCTGTACTTTGATACCAATTCGGGTTCCTTCATCCCAGGAGTGCGTACACCTGGGGGGGGTGGTTGTGTGGCAGGTTTCGGCTGAAAAGAATCTACATCTGCCAGGCTGCACCTCCAGGCTGGGCTTGCCTACTATTATGGGATGGTAAATGGGCAGCCGGTCACTATGGGGGGGGGGGTTGTTAGTGGAAATTACCCCAGGTGTGAGTGACTGAATGTGTAGCAGGGTCACTAAATAATTTCCCGAATGAATTGTTTCAGGGTGGGACATAGAGCCTCTTGCGCGTATATTAAGTGTGTGCTTGGATTGCTTTGTTCCAGGCGAAGGTCTGTTTGATGTGCCATCCATAATGCTGATAAAATGCTACATATTTTTTAAATGTAAATTTTAATTATGAATTTTGAGGATTTGTCTGTCTCCTCATCTGTACTGTTAGATGAGGAGATGTGCAGATTGAGTCATTCACACTAAGCTTGTCCCTGCTCTGAGGTATTTTGTTTGCCAGTATGAGTCTAAATGTCACATCCAAAATGCTGGAATTGCCCAGTATTATTTTCTATAAGCCTGTTTATCATGCTTTATGAATTAAGTGAAAATTTGGAGGGTTATTTAGTGTGTATGCAGTGACTGTACCTAATATTGTGTAGAAAATCTTGCAACAGACTGTAGAAATCTATCGCTGTACCAAATAGATGGATGAAAATGCAGTTTTTGACATTTTTTTAAATTTAGAAATGTCATCTTTTCCCCTCGGCCGTTGGTTTGGAAATGCCTCTCCCCCGTGACAGGAGCTTCTACTACGTCTACATTGATGATTTCCCCTCGTCTTCGTGACGCGTGCAACAGCAAAACGGACATTTTGCAGATGAAGGAAAAAAGTGCAGCTGTAAGGATGGTGTAGAACGAGGGTGACAGAGTAGCACCAAGCAGCAGCCACAGTTTGAAGAGTTACGGTAGATGTTCCCACGGTGTATGAGCTGTTTAGGATCAAGAAGGAAAATAATGAAAAAGTAAATGAACTGAAAAATAGGGAGTGAAATTGGAGAGCAGTAGTGATTGTAACAAAAAAAAATGAATAAAAGGAGCCAGAATGCAGACGAAAGTGACTCCAGGGCCCATATGAAGGAACAGAGAGTTTGTGTTTCTCAGGGTTAATTCAGGTGTGTAAAGATTGTCAGAATGAGTTTATTTACTCACTCGTCACATCTGACACTAAAATGGAGGGAGAAGAAAGACTAAAACAGGGGGATTGAGGGGGAGCAGCCCGGCTTGGATGGCCCTTCCTCGGAAACCACCACCCTCCCCCATTCATCTACTCGTTTTTTTCCCCTTCACTCATTCCTCCCACTACGTATAACAGAAAGAGCATGAACTGGTAGCTCAAGGTACAGAGGAGCATGAGAAAGGGACGTTCTGCTTTTTTAATCAGGTTTTTTTTCTTTTTCTTTTCCATGCACCTTCCCATAAATGGAGGCCATTCTGCCGAACCCCACCCCCCCCACCCCCCAAGTGCTGGAAGCCATTTTGTTTCAGCCACAGTGCCGACCTCTCCCAGTCACCTCAGCCCTGCCGGCTCTTGGGCTGCTTCCCAAGCACTAACCTGCCGAACAGGTTCTCCTGAAGCGCACTGCCACTCACCTGCACGAGGCCTGTGTCTCAAACAGTCCCTCTCACTGTCCGTGATCCTGCTATTTTTACAGTGGGAGATAAAGCCGTAAAGCTCCCTCCCGTCCGGCCGCCTCTCGCCTCATCCTTTGATTCCACTCTCCTGCTGGATGCAGTCCGGGCATGGGGTTGTGGGGGATGGGACGGCAACCTCAGACCACTGTGAGCTATATCTGTTATGGAACTGGGGGCCATTTCATATCTGTATTCAGAGTATTTGCTTTGTGAAATAAGTGAAGCTGCACGGGTATTAAACTTGTTTTTATACCTCCAAACCAGCAGGTGGCAATGTCTCCAGGAGAGGACGGCTTAATCGGGATCCCCTTCCCGGAGCACAGCAGTGAGCTCCTGTCCTGCCTGAATGAGCAACGGAGGGCGGGGCTGCTGTGTGACCTCACCTTGACTTCTCGAGGTGCCCGCTACTCCACGCACCGCTCCGTCATGGCCGCTGTCAGTCTGTACTTCCGCAATCTCTTTGGCGCAGAGGAGGGGGAACCTGGGGATGTTGGCTCAGTGGGGAGCGGCTGCAGTGTCTGCCAGCTGGACTGTGTGGCCCCCGATGCCTTGGACGCGCTTCTGGAGTTTGCCTACACAGCTACGCTGACCATCCGCAGCTCAGGGATGCGGGACGTGCTGAAGGCCGCACAGCTGCTGGGCATCCAGTGTGTAGCCGACGCCTGCAGGGACATCCTGGGCGAGACCAAGGGGGAAGGGGATGAGGAGGAGGAAGAGGAGGAGCAGGAGCGAGGGATCGTGGTGGGGGAGCGCACTGAGGATATCGTGCAAAGTTCCCGGCGCAAGCGAGACAAGCAGCACATCCTGAAATCCAGGTTGTCTCACCTGCAGCCCCGGCGCGACTCCCCCAGTAGCTCGCCCACAGCAGAACTCCCCCGGGCCCCCACCAGCCCCGGCTATGATGAGTACTCACCCCCAGGGGGGCAGAATGGAGGAGGGCAGCACGCTGGCTGGGAACCCGGGGTCATAAACGGGAGTAAGCACTGGACCCCGGGGGACACCCCCTTATTGGTGCAAGCTGAGACCGGCCTTTCGGAAGAGGAAGACAAGATGGGCCCGCCTCCGCTGCCGGAGCGAGGGGGCGTTGCTGGGGGGGGCAGGAAGAGGAAGTCGCAGACTCCACAGCAGTGCCCAGTCTGTCAGAAAATCATCCATGGTGCAGGGAAACTGCCCCGACATATGAGGACCCACACAGGGGAGAAGCCCTTCCAGTGTTCTGCCTGCGGGGTGCGCTTCACTCGGTGAGGAGGGCATCCGGGGTGGGAGGGTGGGGTATGGGGCCGGGGCTGGTCTCCCTCACTGATGGTCTCTGCTCTACCCCCTCTCCTGACAGGAATGACAAGCTGAAGATCCACATGCGTAAGCACACGGGCGAACGCCCCTACCCCTGCCCGCACTGCCCTGCTCGCTTCCTGCACTCCTACGACCTGAAGAACCACCTGTCGCTGCATAGCGGCGCCCGGCCCTTCGAGTGCCCACTCTGCCACAAGGCCTTCGTGCGCGAAGATCATCTGCAGCGCCACCGTAAGGGCCACAGCTGCCTGGAGGTGCGCACGCGCCGGCCGCGCCGCGGGGCGGGCAGTGTTGGGGAGGCCGTCATGGCCTCCTCGCTCCTGGATTCCATCCCCCTGTCGCATGCCTCCGCCTTCTCCCGCTCGCCCCCGCCAACGTTGGGCCGGTCCCCGTTCCTCCCTGACGTAGATGGCCCCCCCATCCCGCTCCACGCCATGCCGCTACTTGGGCCCCGCGGGCCTCCATACCCGGCCCTCCTCTTCAGAGGGGTGGAGGTGCCTGGGGGCCCCATCGAGGAGCTGGGAGCCCCTAATGCCACACATGGCCCCCCAGGCCCGCAGGTGAGCTGGGGGGAGGAGGAGGAGGAGGACAATGAGGAGGAGGAAGATGAGGATGAGGAGGAGTAGTGGTACAAATGGGAGTGCGTGTGCCTGTAGGTCTGTGTGTGGTTTGTGCTGCGTTCGTGTGGCTGCGGGAGGAGCGATCGGGCCCTGAGATTCCCTGCGTGGTTTCAGAGGGCCCGCCCACTCCATATTCTGGGGCACTTACTGAAACTTTGTGGGGGGGGGACAAGAAAACTAAAGATCGGGGGTTGGGTTCCTGATTGTTTCTTTATTTCTCTGTAATTTTATTTTTGAGTTGTTTTATTTTCTCATGTAATTATTCAGATTTTTGTTGTACTGTAAATGAGACTGTATATGACTTAATTGTTTTTGTTGACGTTTGGGTACATAAGCAGGTGTGGAATGGAGTCAGTCCTGTCACCAAGCAATAACGCAAGAATATAACCGAATAAAAAAAAAAATAATAATAAAAAAAACAGAAAAATTTGAACCTACCAAAGAGAGCTGTGTTCAAATGGGAGATGATGTTGTAACACTGCTGTTGGGTGTATCAAGCCATTATGAAAAAGAGACCAAAAAGTTGCTTGGATTCAAGCATTTTTGTTTACTGGCGGCTCGAATACTTTGAAGTTCAAACGTGCGGACTATGCAATGGCCTTCTGCTTGATGTATATTTGTAAAACTGCCACCTAGTGGAACAGAAGTAGAATTGCCTCTGGACAGCTATGCATCTGATTCAAAAACTCTTGTCCTGGATAGTTTCTGCTTGAAACCCTAATGGAATCACTTTATATCCTCAATGGAACCATCTATATTATCTGGACAATGTATCCTAGCTTGTAGCCGATAGCTTGTAAGACATCCCTTCGACATTCTGGTGCACTGGGTAGCATCTGTGTTTTTACCACAGCGGCTGCTGGTTCAAGTCTTAGGTAGCATCCTGCGGTTGTAGGCTTAGGCAGGGTACTTAACTGGAAGTTTAATACTTAACTGCTACTTAGCCTGCCTGTATATCATCTGCTAAAGGACCTCATAGTGAGCACTTCTGAGATGGGACCTGCGGAATCCAGCGAGTGAGAGCAAGGGGAAGAAGCCAAGAACACAGAGGGACTTCCAAAAAGCTGCTGAAAGTACTGCTTTCTGTCTGGAGCGCCTGTCGGTCACCTCCCCTGCTGAGGGGGGGCGGTTGATCTGCAGACAGGCTGATCTGAATGTCTGACAAAAAATGAGTTATGCTGGCGGTGCTTTGGTGAGGATGCCGTATATCCTTTTTGTTTTCTGCTCTGCGCGCTTCACTCCCCATCCTCCACTGCTGTCTCAGTCTTCCAAATCACTCTCTTCATTGTTTTGATGGAAAAAAAGAGAATGCACGGTATTTATTTATTTATTAATATTTATTGTGGTTTTCCAGTTAAAACTCTGAGAATCCTCACCACCACCTTCTCAGCTTCCCTGACGCTTACTCTCCATCCAAGTAACTTAGCTGGAAACCATAGAGGCAGAAGGTGACGAGTTGGCCTTTGAGTTGCTGGTCCTCTGAACCATTTTTTTTCCCCCTCCTTTATTTTGTCCCCCAAATCTCATCAGCCATGTGCTTCCACACAAGTACCTTCCCCTGGAATGACTCGAGAAGCCTGTATTTCTGTGGGGTGGGGGGAGGGGTGGGAGGTGAACTGAAAATGTAGAAATAATTTCAGTGGACAACGACGACGGTGAATGGGACTTTACAGTGAGGTTATGTTTGGGGGTCTTAAATAAAAATGAACGAATATGTGTGCTGTGTTACTCAAACTCTTTAGAAGGGCCACCATGTTCCTGGTTTCCAGTTTGTCTCTGCTTTGAGAAACTCCTCTTTTTTCATGCATTATGAGAGCCATGTTCCCTTGGGGACGTCAGTGGTCGGTTATGGATAGAATATATGACTTCTTTGTATATTGTGAAGTATTGATAATGCGCGACTGTTGGATGGTAGCCAGTCATATCAATAACAACTAACAAGGCCTATAACCAAGCCCAGATCTCTCTGTCTAGGTGTGTGATGTCTGTACTGTATTGTTTAGAAAGGGGTTCTGTTGTTTCTGGTTTATTTGCACTAAATTAAGAGCTTTATTATTTTTTTCTTCTGCCAATCTCCATTCCATGACTGCACAAAATTATTTTGATTGTAAAGAAATATATATATAGGATATATATATATATATATAGATCTATTTCTTTGAGAAACAAATGTTGTCTATTCTTTCTACTGCATAGATGTACAGTCCTTGTTATAGTGTGGAGTTTATAATGTAAAGGGTCACCCTGCCTTGAACTCTTTTGCAACTATTCTCAGGAAATCTTGGGCAATGCACTGAGTGAATATGCAATAAAAAATCTATGGAGCAATGTCTTTTTACACAAATGTGTTTGAAAGTGTTCACATCCTCTGCTTTAACGTACCATTCTGAATACTCGGTGGAATACTATCAGATCCGGCTAAACCCCGACAATACGTTTAAGAGAAATGCAGTCGTTCCTCAGATGATCATTAATATTCGCATACTAACTGAGATATGAATCTGTACAGATAACTTATCTTCCTGACATGTTTGGGGGCTGGGTGGGCTGTAACTGCACAGAGTTTTGAGAGATCTTATGTATCGTACCAAAAGCAAATGTTTTCAGTTGAAGGGTGTTAATGCTGTCGGATGCAGGGGTGGGAATGCGGAGAAACCATTGATGCCAGTTGTGAAAAAAAGAATGTCTGGACAGTTTGTGCTGTTTGCTTTGCCTGGGGTGAAGGGGGAGGGGGTTTTCGGGTTTGTGAGACCCCTTTTCAGGGATACTGTTTTTTTTTTTTTTTTTTCCTGTTTTAGTGACTGTCTCATTGGTAATTTCCCAGCATTTTTTTCTGATACAAAGAAACCAGGTGAATAAATCTAGTTATCTGACTCCGTATTTTGTGTTTTTATACACAGATGACATGGAGGCGGGGGGGGGGGGGGGGGGGGGGGGGGGAAATATGCAGATTTGAAACGGCTGTTCTTGTACACGAAGCTTCTTCCATGGGCTGTAGGGATGTGGTTTAGCCTTTTTCTGCTCCCTTTGTTGTATAAATATAATTCTTACCCTGGTGAGCATAAACAAATGTACCAGCTACATAAAATATAGAGGGACAAGTGCAGTTTTTAAAAATTTATTTAAATAAATAAACATAATGGAGCATAGTTCATATTCTGGGGGAAAAAGTGACACCCATCTACCAGCCAAAAGCTAGCTGTACAATGTAGAGTAGGCTTGATTCCTCTTTTAAGAATGTACGGTAGCTGCATCTTGGCCTGTAGATTAGATGTGAACGAGACTGACGATTTGGCCAGAAGCAACAACACTAATCGAATCTGATCACTTCTCATTCGTTTTTCAAAATGTTTGAATACTAATTGTTATGATATTTATTTTAAGGGGTGTGACAGACAAGCAAACAAAAAAATAACAGCCCATTTTTTATGCAGAAATATGCCAAGACGGATGGAGATCACTGGCAGGCTGAGCAGGACAGTGAACTGAAGGCGCAATCGGGATTTACTTCAAATGTCTAAGTAGCATTAACTGCTTGGGGACTTGAGGGGACCCTAATGTGAGTAGAGGGTGTTCTGGTGATGTATCAAACCAGACAGGTGAGCATCGGATGAATGAGAGATCTAGCTGTATGACTGTATGATCTACTTACAAATGCGCTTCATTCCCTCAGTATCGAACAGCATAAATTTAATGGACTTATGACCATGCATTAGGTTTTTACCAGCAGATTTTTATATCTCATAGCTCTAAATAGATTACATTTTGTAGTGACGTTTGGCTACTAACATTAAATACCTATGCTTGCTACAAAATCGTCAACAGTGTGCAGAAGTTAGCTAATGATAATTAAATTGAATGGGACATGTTGGTGCTGCTCTTATCTGTCTTGATAGCACGATGATTAGCCATAGTTCAATTGGCAAGCAGACCAAGCCACAGCTGAAGACTCCCTCCCCAGCAAGCGTTGACGAGGGAGGGATGGGATGGTGTGTTTTCCTGGAGATCTTCTGGGTCTTCTGTATCTGTCTCATAATAAATAATATACTAGTAGATGGCAACTCCGTGTGGAAATAAATAGCTGCCTAGGTCTAGGTTGTGGGTAGTCCATTATTTGCAACATTTTTTGACTCAGTGTTGTGCTACCTAGGAACGTTCCACATGTGGAGACAGTTACTGTGTTACGTGGGATTTGGGAGAGAGAATAATTCTGGGATCTGATATCTCCTTCCACCCTTGCACTTTGGTGGAGGTTATTCATTCTGCTTAAACAACCGAGAGAGACATGCAGGTGGATGCCTTTAACGCCGACAGTTTTTCAGACATCCATGTGTTTGCAGTTTACTTGCCTGTCTTCACAGATGTTATCATTACTGTTTTCAGTTTGACTTACATGATTGGATTCCTCACCTAATGGGCGGCATTGCTGCCTCGCGCCTCCAGGGTAGGCTTTCAGGCTTGCGTTGGGTCTCTATAGGCGCTTTCACACTGAAGTTCCGGAACCTTGTCTCAGGTTCATTCAGTTCATTATTCTTATTAAATCTGGCCAGCAGATCCACCTTTCATTTTCCACAGAATAAAAAACGAGCTGGCAGCAGTGATATTAGACAGAAGTATATATCTCTGACGCGAGCAAAAAATGCATTAAATGTAACTGGGGTACAAAAATAATTACATCTGCTCAATTTTTCTCTTTTCCTGCATATCTGCGTAACTTCCATGTTAGTGCCGGTGCTTGTGGTCAACCAATCAGCTGTAAGCATCAACCAATCAGCAAGCTATGCCTGTAAGCGGCTCCCCAGTATTTTGTGTTCGAATGAAAAGTATGGAGTCTGGAGTAAGTACTAAAAAAGGGATCTGGAACTGCCTCCGAGTTCCTGCAATGTGAGTGCGTCAGAAGTCCCTGGCTCCGGAAAAAGGTTCCGGTGTTATAGCGCCTTATGTGTGGACCTTCCATGGTCTGCCTTTGTTGAGCAGATTTCCTACCACATCCACAGGCATGCAGTTAAATGAACTGGCATGTCTGAATAGCTCATGATGTGTGCCTGTGCCCAGTGATGAATTTGTGTACTCTAGCCTCTATGCTGCATGGGACAGGCTCCCCCCCCCCCCACACAGACACACACACACACACACAATCCTGACCAGGATCAATGGCTAGAAGATGGATTCCTCTGTGATTCTATGGTTCGTTGCCCCTGGATGATGCTCTTCTCCTGTGCTCTATGTGAAATAACATACTGCTGGAGCACAGACAGCCTGGGACTCTGCTAGCACAAGGTGTTATGGGTGAATATGTAAATTAGGGTGACACCCATTTTCTTTCATGGACTTCTGTATACAGTCAAATGCTTGTATTACCAGAGAAATTGTATAATAGCTGGGAGCTACATTAACTAAAGAACATATCAATATTTTTCTTCAAAATACATGATCAACAAGTCAAGCTATAGTGATTAAGTGTAACTGGGTCAAGGATGTAAGAATATAGGTAATGTAACGTGGTATAATTAGTATGGTAGACTGCCAGTTATATAATACAATATATTACTATTGCCATTGAAGAGCCATTTCTCGGCTGAGTTTCGCAAACATGAGAGTTGTGGGAGTGCAGCCCATACAGGGAGGGTAAGGAACTGAGTATCTGCCTTTGATCTCTTTTTGCCTGGATAAATGCACAATTAATGTGCAGAACCAGTTACGCCGATCACGTGCGTATACATCCAACAACACTATCATTGTGTTTTATAACTGGAAAATCAGGATGCGTGCGTACATACCCTCTATTGTCCTTTATCCCCATTTTATATTTGGGAGTAGACTGGGTGACTAAGGCCATGCGACAGTTTGTATGTGGTGATGCACAGACATGTGAGATGAACACGATTTAGGTGATTAGCATACAGATTGAGGGACACACAGTATGTGCCCTTGGTGAACGAGCTGCCTGGCTTGTTACAGGTGAGGAAGTGAAACAGCTAAAAATAGCTTCTAGTCGGATCGAAAGCTTATTTAATGGGGGCTGGTGGAAAGAGGGATGTAGATAAAAACTGTAGGTTGGGGGCGAGGTGCCAGGTAGTGTCAGATTCAGGGCTTGATAGCAATAAGGTAATCTGTTTTTAGTTACTGTACCTTATTAATTATTTAAAATCGCTATTTGAATAGTTGATCTCCTGGGAGATTCTGCAGGGTAAAATTAGCAGTTAGAGAGGTACGTGTACACTCCAGCACAGCTGCTGCAGAATACGATCCCTCACAAGCCCTTGTTTACAGTGGTTTATCATAGGAAATTTATCACTGGGAACAAGGGCTAAGTTAAAATACTTGAAAGATGCCACTCTTTTAGCTGAGTGATGTCGGAAGATACAGCACCCTACTGGTAAAAAGGGATTTAACATAATATCATGTGACATACAGTATTTAAATTGAAACACCAGGAAACAGAACTGCATGTGCAAAGAGGTACACTTCAGGTTCAACAGGTTAGTCTGACAGGTTTAACGCCTGCGGTGGTGCTATGCGGCCCTGAGAGATGGAGTCACGCTCAAATGAGGCCCTCCCCTCCACCAGTGGGGCTGACTGCTAGTCCATCAATCTATCCCCCGAACTACTTTCAGGTATTAATCTGACACATCCTCCCTGTGATATAGAGCTTTCCAGCAGAAGCACTGGAACTTAAGAGACTTAAGATTGGATTGATTTTCTTAAATAAATAGGCATATCTGTTACAGAAAATATTGAACTCTGGTAGTCTATGACATCTTTCAGTAGAGTTCTGTCAACCATCGATTTCAGATCCACCACCTACAACCCACCTGGGCAGGGTCACCTGGAGCCAATCCCACAGAGCACAGGGTACAAAGAGCATGCAAACTAAAGGTGTGAGTGAGCGGCGCTGCCTACTGAGTCACTGTGGCACCCACTTTCAGATTGTAATGTTTTGAATCAGTTTTTAATTACTGAGCTAGCTGGCTTTGTGGAGGTACGTGTTTCCTCGGTTGGGAGAAACCAACGAGGGGGCCCCACCCCGATGGGTGAGGGGCCCTACGGGTATGGTTGCTGGACACCCCATTAAAATTTATTTCTGGCTAGGGGCACGGTGTAAATTCGACCATCACTCAGTGTGTGAAGTTTACATATTTTCCCTTTGAGCACTAATTTCCTCCCACAGTCCAAAGAAATGTGCAAAAGCTCTTTTTTTGAGCTTTCCAACAAGCTACCACCCACTCTGTGGTCTGTAGGTGAGATTTCTAGGGCCACCACTATCAATTATATTAAAGATTGAGTAATTTACAGATTAATTTAACAGGGCTTTATTTGCAAAATCTGTGCCACATAAAATAAATATAATACAGGTTCTGTGTATTGACAGCAATTTATCTTCTCTTGTCAATTTCAGAACATCTGAAGCACCAACTGTTATACCACATCCCGAGTCTGGAGTCATTTTACTGTTAAAATATATAAAATTTGTTGGCAGTGTGTTGTGTTGGCCCAACTTGCGCCAACATCATCAAGTTATTTGACTGTTTCTTTTGGTAAATAATGAGTTATATTTGGCTATAGTTCATTTTGGGTAAATGCTCAACTCCTTTGGATTATACAAATATTATAATGTGAACTTTTTCCAGTATCGTTCAGCCACAGACACACAATAGAATCACAAAATGATACGCAGCTGTCCTATATAGTATATTAATTTATTTCATATTGATATATAACATTAAATCCGTGGTTGGCCTTTATTTTAGCGAAAGATTCGTAGAAAGTAAATTGTCAAAGTGATGGAAAAGATACATGCAAGCCTAGCTAGTCCAATGGCGCTTTTCCGTTGCATCAGGAACTTTGGGTACTTCAAACAGCAAAGCGCCCCATGCAAGCTTGTGGCTTGTAGGCAAATTTTAATCGATACTTTAAAAAAAATCAAGTAATAGAGTTTAATCGAGTGTTACAGCTCTAGCTCAGGTTACACTATCTAGAGTTAGTTTGTTCACATTTCCGATATCAGTGTGATTTTATGCAGTATTCCCCAATGCAGGACGCTGACTTCATCCACCCTCCAGCCGCTCATCCAGCCCGGGGCACCGTGTTGACGACCATCATCCCGGTTGGCGGGGGAGACGTCAAAATCATTAAATAAATTGTATGTATACACTCCTGACAGGGGGTATAAGCCCAGCTGGTCTGCGCTCCGGCGCCGCCGTGACGAAGGCCGGCCCCTGACCTCCCCCCTGCCGTCGCGGAAGCGGACCGAACATTTCCGCCATTACTGCTCGCCTGGATCTGCTCCTGCGCTGGAGCTCCGCTTTGCTGTAAAACGTGTGGGAATAGAGCCTGAGTCCGTTTAAAAAACAAAGTCACCATTGATGTCGTTTGGTGGGACGCAGAACGGCGGGTGAGTGCGGTTTATTGCCGCCGGCGGGTCGCCGTTTTACTGCCCTGGCGTTTGTTTGCAGACGGCGAGCGAATAATAACATGGCGGCTCATAGAGGCATCCATAGCTAGCGAGATGATTAGCCTTTAGCTCGTTAGCTTGGCGGCTCACTTTGGCTGCGTGGGTACTAGGCGGCTGCACATTAGTCGTGTTATTATGGAGACATGACGAAGTAAGTTAATTCGCCATCTTCGCTTTAATCCATCACCGAGCTGCGTGTCGCGTCCTTACTGACAGATCCGGAGGGTGGAGAGGCGCGGAATGGAGTAGCTAACAAGATTATGGTGATAGTTAACCTAATCCAACTCCGATAGAAACACAAATAAATGTGGTGGCGTTTAGAGTTGGCAGCGAATGACTAAGGTTAATTAGTCCTGTAAATAAGACGACTAATCTTGCCTTGGTGAGATGGTAAAACGTATATACTGGCGTCAGCGGAGAGGTCTGCACCCCGTGCACCGTCAGAGCGGAACGGGCTGCACCTAGTGTTCGGCCCTATTAGATTGGTCTGCGCCCCATGTACCGTCAGCGAAGCAGTCTGCACCCTATGCACCATCATAACAGATTGGTGTGCACCCCATGTACTGTCAGTGCAGCGGTCTGCACCTCATGCACCGTCAGATCAAAACGGTCTGCACCTAATGTTCGGCCAAAGTAGATAGGTCTGCCCCCCATGTACTGTCAGAGCATAATGGTTTGCACCCAGTGTTCGGCCATAGTAGATTGGTCTGTCCCCCCATATACCGTCAGAGCAGAATGGTTTGCACCCAGTGTTTGGCCATAGTAGATTGGTCTGCACCCCATGTACCGTCAGTGGAGCGGTCTGCAACCTGTGCACCATCATAGCGGATTGGTGTACACTCTGTGTACGTCAGCAAAGCAGTCTCTATCCCGTGCACCATCATAGCGGTTTGGTGTGCATCCCGTGTTCTGAGCCCCCTGACAAAATGTCACATTCAGCCCCCCCCCCCTCAAGGTTTGTCAACTTCTGAAGATATATCAGTAGATACCAGCATACTCTGTGTTTTCAAGGGCCCCATTAGTGTTGAGTCCTCTGATATCCATACCCCTCTGACACCCTCTGACGGTAACACTGTGTGTACTGTAAGCATGGAGCAGTCTGAACCCAGTGTACCATCAGCAGAACGGTCTGCACCCTGCCCACAGCTGAAAGAGCTCTGGTTTCATTTTGGTCGTGTCTGATTCATCAGTCGTGCGGTCATATAAAACAAACCACCATGTGGTGCCACGTGGTAATTGCTCATTGATGTTGTGTTAGATTCGGGGTTGTTATGGGGATGTTGGTCATTTCTGGTCCTGTTCTCAAACCCGCTTCTTCGTCTTATAAATTATACAGTCAGCAGCGGTTGCAGGAGATCGTCTTTCAGAAGGCAGTCGCCGTCATTGTCAGGCTGATTAAGTCTGTCTGGGTGTTTGTTACCATGGACAAAATGCTGTTTTTAATGTTTTTAAATTGCAAAAATCGTATCTGTGAGACTTTAATGAGGAGACCAAGGATCACACTGTTCGTTCTTGACCAAAGTCACTATCTCTTTGTGCCAAGCCGTCGCAGTAAGTGGGACCAGCCTGGTCCGGGTGCCGTGGTGGAGAATGAGGCGGCACCAACAGGGGCCCTGGACGCCGCCGCTGCGGTGGCAGCCAAAATCAACGCCATGCTGGTGGCCAAGGGCAAGCTGAAGCCGTCACAGATCGGAGTGCCGGGGGCCGTGGACAAAGTAAGGAGCCGGAAAACTGTGTGTGTGTTTCAGACGATGCCATGCTGAAATAGTTTGCATAGGATTAACTGGGAACAACGGCTGCATTTCACATTTGGTTACATATGGAGCCCGAAAGAGGAATGTTTCCATTAAAGAGAAAATTGCATATAGCACTCTGATTAATGCAGAAGATGTTAGTTTTCTCTGCAATATCCCGCTATTTTAAAGTAGACCTTGGAATACAGACCTCTCATGAACTTGGTCCTTTTTTCTTCAAATTTGACCTATGTTTTCCTAGCTGTTTATAGCCTGTTATGGAAAGGGAAGCATTGCGACATTCTACCCATGACTTGAGGGATGAGGGCTGGGGCCTTCAGTCAGGGCCAGCCATAGTGTGTCCCGCAGACGGGGGAGGCTCACATTCATGCCCTGTCCCAGGCTGCAGGGGGTGGGAAGGTGCTGCCTCCGCTGAAGGCCAAAGACGACCTGGTGGTGGCTGAAGTGGAGATTAATGATGTGCCGCTGACCTGCAGGAACCTGCTGACCCGTGGCCAGACGCAGGATGAGGTCAGAGCAAAGTTAACTCATTAGTTAACTTGGCTTGGTTTCTCATTCTAATGCTAGTTTGAATAGCTACTGTAGGTGATACAAAGAGAACTGCTATAAATTAGAATTGTATTTAAATATCTGCTGCTGTTATTAAATTGAAATAAAATTGAAGTATGAGTATTAGACTTTGAACAATAAATCATCTTTTATTAAGTGAGCAGGTACTTTTCCAGTATATGTGTGTGTGCGCTCAATGTAATGATCTTTCTCTTGTTTGAAATTTAATACATTGAAAAAACAAGATGCTAGGTGTATGATTATGCACAAAATCAGAAGCTTTGCACAGAGATGAAGGGCATTTCTGTAGGTAAAGCCGGATACATTTTGGTAGGGGTAATACAGAGCTTTGTTTATGGGATCTCCACAAGATAGGAAGGAAGGAAACATGGTTAAATGTGCCTTCAGCAAACTAGGAATGAATTTCCCCATAGAAACAAAGTTAGTATTTAGTAGGTTGGTTTCTGGCTAACCCACAAAACCTGGTTTGACCAGTAATCTACCTGGGTACAACTGAATTGTGATGAAAGAGTAATTATGAACACTCTGTCCCCCAACGTCAGTGTAAAATGTGAAGTGGTGGTTGGTTTTTAATTTCTGGAAGAGTTTACGTAAATTAGGAACACAATGGGGGGGGAAACCATCTGGTTTGTTAAAGTTGGGTGGAACCGGGAGTTGTGTGGTTGAGTTGTTCATGATCTTCTCCGACCATTTACTCTGTCGTTTCTGTCAAATAAAGTCACACATTGTATCGTTCTAAAGAGGTGTCTTTGTTTCATATCATAATTCTGTGTAACATGGTGCATATTGTGTTGCTACCAGCCTGACCTGTTTGACTGGGTTTAGAACCAGCTCTCTGTTTTATGTGAGAGCGCCCTGATTAATGTAAACAGCCATGCCATAAAACGTAAAGTGAATATGAAAGGGGTGATGGTGCAGAGGAGAAGCATGCATCTTCACCTTGGCATCTGTCAGGTTTTATAGGCCATCCGTTTTGTTTGATGCTGAGCTGCTTCAATGAGCACCATCAGCCTGCTGAGTTGAGACGTTGACGTTGACGTTGGTGTGGATGAGCTGGCGAAAACAAGACACACCTCCCTCCCCCTACACTTATCTGATCTGGCTATGGGTTGGTTAGAGGCGTTTGGCCAAATCCCATCAACCAGGGGCTGAAACCACATTAAAATAATGATTTCAGGGAAATGGCTTCCAGGGAACAGTGTGTGTGCGCACATATAGTTCAGAATTAACATTTTATTGATCTTTTGTGTATTTACATAATTTAGGGAATATGTATATATTATGCAAGATTTTTTTTATTATTTTTTTTAAAGAAAATACTAAATTTTAGGAATGCAACGAAGTTGACCTTATGGTTCGGTTTTCATTTGGAGCATTGAATGTAGTTGGGGGACAAAAATGTGCAGGAAGGTAGTTAAAATGCTGCCTGCTTGACCTGTGGCTGCAGTTTCTCTGTGTTTTTAGAAAGAATTACAAGCTGCTTGGCTGACGCTCATTATGAGCTGCCTCGGTGTATAAGTGATATCGACATACTCGGAAGTTCAGAGTTGAAACTGATGCCCGGACTCATCTGTCATGGAGCTGTAGCAGATCTTAGGTTCCTCTCCGGCTACTGAAATGCATTTTCTGTCATTTTTGCCGAAAAGGTGGTTTAGACGGAGAGCAGGTTAGTGGCACAGAGGGCAGTGCTATGAGCTCACACCTCTGAGGTGGTGAGATTGAGTCCCTGTGGGCGCTCTGGTGCCCCTCTCTGGCGGAGATATGACGGTGCATTTCTGATTCTATATTGCCCACAAACATCATACCCAGGCTATACTGTTGTTCCCTGTGATTTCTTTTAAAAAATAGCCATATGTGATCCGTATTCCTTATTTAGCATTGTATAGGTATTTACAGGTCAGTTTGCATTCAATTTTAGTTTTTTTTGTGTAAAATCCATAGTTTGATAAAATTAACTTTTTTGTAATGTTGCCTAATTTTGTCTCGCCAGTTGAAGAAAATCGGAGTACTGTATTGAATTCAACGTGTATTTATATTTTTTTAAATAGAATTATACCTGAATTAGAACAAGTTCTGTTGTACCAAAGATACCATACAAGCATACAAGTGCCATTCAGTTGAGGATCCTTACGCATTATCCAATAATAAATAGATTTGTAAATATAATTACTAGATGTGTATTGCTTGGTTATTTTACGTATTTTAACCAGCTGGGTCTAAAAAAGAACCCTTCATTTGCAGATTAGCAGGGTGAGTGGTGCTGCAGTGTCCACCAGGGGGCGGTACATGACAACAGAGGAGAAGGGCAAAGCCCTGCCTGGGTGAGCCCCCCCCCGAGGGAAATTCTTTGGTTATGTAAGGTGAATGTAAAAAAATCACCATGTTATAGCTTGCCTGTTCCTTTCTTCATCCAGTGACCGTCCCCTTTACCTGCACGTCCAGGGACAGACAAGGGAGCTCGTTGACAGTAAGGGTCTCCTTCCTGTGTTTGTATGGGAACCGACATCATCTCATATGAATGACGTAAGCGAAGACGGTGTGTAATCCCGACCATTTCTTCCAGGGGCTGTGAACAAGATCAAAGAGATCATCACCAACGGGGTGGTGAAGGCGGCCACCAGCTCTAGCTCTTCCTATAACGGTGCCACTGTTACTGTGTACCACCAGCATGCCCCACCTCCCCCAACGCTGCCCCCTATGGGCCACAAACCGCACTTTCAGTCAGGGGTAAGGCACACTAACTGCTCCCTGTGTGTGTGTGTGTGTGTGCATGCACTCAGTCCCTGTTCTGCTGTCCACCCCCCCCGTTCCAGATGCACTATGTTCAGGACAAGCTGTTTGTGGGGCTGGAACATGCCGTTCCTGGCTTCTCTGTAAAGGAGCGCGTGGAGGGACCCGGCTGCTCCTACCTGCAGCACATCCAGGCCGAGACCGGGGCCAAGGTCTTCCTCAGGGGCAAGGGCTCCGGCTGCCTGGAACCGGCATCTGGCCGAGAGGCCTTCGAGCCCATGTACATCTACATCAGGTGAGAGGGTGGGGCTTCACGACTGCTGAGTATCTGATTGGAGGGTGTGTAGAGGGGCACCAACCAGCCCTGAAGCTGTGTTTGAAACTCCACTTTTGTGACTTAGCATTGGTGGCTTGCTAATCATGGGAGGTGCAGAGGCTTAGCGGTTAGCGGTATGGCCTTCCGCCTCCCAGGCGGCTGTCCCTTCCCACCCTGGCTCTGTGTGTCTGTGAGTTTTAACGTGTTCCCCGTGCCTGCGTGGATTTCCATAGCCCGCAGCATGCGTGTTCTGTGATGGCCTAGCGTTCTGTCTGGGCTCCCAGCCTAGTTTTGGGAGATGGATGGATGCCCAATATTAAAAATCGTCCCCGGTGCCTGTGGAGTTGAACGGCCGCGTATCTGATTTAACGTGAAGCTGCACAGCCTGCGGCCCACGGCTCTCCCGGAGCAAACCCCTGCATTTGTCATCTTTCCTGTAGCCACCCCAAACCTGAAGGCCTGGCTGCTGCCAAGACCCTGTGTGAGAACCTACTGCAGACTGTGAGTCTCTGTCCGGCACCCGCAGTGAGGGACCCCTGACTCTGCTCCATGGTAACACTGCTCTGCCCCCCCCCCAGGTGCATGCTGAGTACTCCCGCTTCCTCAATCAGATGAGCGCCATGCCCACCCAGGGTAAGGATTCCCCTCGGCAGCTCCCTTGAGTGATGGTCGTCTTCTTGGGTCTCCCTCTCCCTTGTCACGTGACTCCTGCCTGCTTTGCCGTCTAATCCGATTGGCTGCCGTCTTCCTTTCCACCTCTCATCCTGCACAGGGTTCATCCAGCCCCCGGCCATAAACGGGATGCCCCCTCAGCCACCCTACTACCCCCCGGCGGGGTACCAGCCGGGCTATCCACTGCCAGTGCCCCCCCCCCAGCCTGTCCCACCGCCGTACACAGTGCCCCCTCCTGTGCCCCCAGGGGCACCGACTGTGATGCCCCCCCCGAGCGCGCAGTACCCAGTTAGCCCTGCCCCGGCCTCCCTCACACAGGTACCCTGACGGAAAGCGAGTCTCGCGTCTCCGTGCTTCGCGAGGACACTGAGTGTCATCCCTCTACAGTTGTTTGACCTTAGTCCCTCTGTCGTGTTTTTCGTCCTTTTCATGATGTCATGACTCCTCTCTCCAGCCCCTCCCACCTGGGCCTTTCCCTCCCACAGCGCCGGTACAGCCCAAAGTCACGTCCCCTGCACCCCCCGTTAACCCTCCACAGAAGCGCCGCTTCACCGAGGAGGTCCCAGACGAGCGGGACAGTGGCCTGCTGGGATACCAGGTGAACGGCCGTCCTGCCGTCAGGTTCTGATTGGCTGTGTGACCAGCGTGCTGTGAGCGAGTCACTGAGCGAGCGCCGGCTGTGCTGTGAGGGCCTGTCACCAGCGCCTTCTGTTACTCGTCCTCATGCCTGCTGTTGCGTGGTGCCTTTGGACCTGACATCATTGTCTGCCAAATCCCATAACAATCAGTGAGCCAGACACGCCTCGGCGTGAAAGGGCGTCATGACTGCTGCCGTGTAAATAAATGTGTGTTCCGATGTCAGTGTGCATGCATGCTTCTGGGATGGGGGCCGAATGTCCCCAGACACGATGCACTTATTTGTCATTTTATGAATGATCAGCTGTTTGTTGAGTTCCGGTGAGGGGCGTGTGCTGTCATTTTTATACCAGGTGAGTGTTAGCTGTTGCTTACAAACCTGTTGGAGTCTGGAGCCACTGTCACATGTTTCCAGTGCAGCTCTTTAGAAGATTTGTTTCTGGAGAGAATGTGCCTTTTTGTAAGCGACAGGAGTGCAGTAGTCTGTTCTGGAGGGGTAGCTGTAGGGCATTAGCCGGCACTGTGCCTCCTGCGTGTTTTAGGGACACGTGCAGGTCAGAATGGCGGCTAACGCGGTTGTGTTTTTCTGCTCATAGCATGGACCCATTCATATGACTAATTTAGGTGCAGGCTTCTCTGTGGGCGGCCCCGAGCCTTCTGGACTCCCGGCAGCCGGTTCCCCTGGTGATCTGAGGGAGCGGGAGAGGTAAATGTGCGGTCGGTGGCTAAGCAGCCCTACAGTGGTCCTGAGGAGAGTCTGCCTGTCTGAAACTCCACCCTCTCGGTTTCCCCAGTAGGCAGCTAATGCCTCCGCCGCCTATGCCGATTAACGGAGCACGCCCCAAGCCCGAGGAGAGGAGGACGCTGCCCGGGGCCCTGGGTGAGTGGCGACCCCCGCTCTAACCCCCTCCCCCTGCCCTGGCAGGCTCTCCCTTCCCACCCCCGTTACCTATCTGGATTTTGCCTGTAGTTCAGCAGCAGACCCACTAGGTGTCTCCCAGTGAATTTGCTGGCCATTATTTCCTGGTAAATATTATAGCAGTACATTACGACTGCATCTCTTAAATCCTAGCTGTTATCCTCAGGGTTGGTTATTTTTGCACTGACATTCAGCACTAAAGCCACTGGCTGCTGATTTACAATCCCGTGATGGCAGAGTTAGCTTTTAGAGTTATTGCCCCTGCCCTGCCATGTGCATCTGCCCTTTCTCTCAGTAGCTGGTTCCTTCAGCCAGCTGTCCCTCTCTGATGACATCATCAGGATGGAGGAGTCTGTGCCCAAGCCTCCTCCTTCACTAACGTGGTTCTTCCTTTTTTTTGTGTTCTCTCTCTCTTTCTCTGTGTTCTTCTCTTCCATGTCTCTCTGGGGGGATGCCTGACGGTTTCGGGTGTGGGTGGGTTGGGGGGTGGGCGTGGCTCCTCGCTGCGATGTTACGGCTGTCCCGCACCCCCATTGGACCACCTGGCCGCCGCCCCCATCGACCGATGTCTGCCGACCCTGGCCTGCTCGCCTCCTCTGTCACCCGTTCACACGTCACTCTTATTTTTTTTTTTAAACGATGAAAATTAACTGTTTGTCTCCCCTTTTAAACGGCATTTTTTTAAATGATCACTCGTACTGCCGTACCCCCTCCCTCCGTCTTTTTGCTCTTCTCTCCCTCTCTGTCTGTTCGTCCCCCTCCCATTTCAGAGCCGACGGCGAAACGTGCCAAGACGGGCCTGGTGGCGTACACGGGGGACTCTTCGGATGAGGAGGAGGAGCACGTGACCTGCAAGGCCGGCGGGGCAGGTAACGGGGGAGCAGGCGCGTCTGCCAGTTGGGCCCTGGGGTATCGATGCCCACCCTCTGCGCCCCCCCGCCCCAAAACACAGACGCAGCAGCCCATGCCGTTTTGGATGGCCCCGTGATGACTGGACTGGGAGATGCCCAGCTTCACCCCCCCCCCCCCCACCCCCCCCCCCCCCCCCCCCCCCCCCCCCC